TGAGTGCTCCAGGGTGGGGCGGAAGGGCCTTCACCGCTCTATGTTTCACAGGAAGAAACTAAGGCCCAGTGGCGAAGTGCTGTCCTGGGCCCACATAAGTCACCCGTGCCCTGGGCCTCACCTGGGGACTCCTATCTCAGCCTCAGAACCCCGCACGGAAGCCCCTCGCCCGAGATGTCACTGTTCACAGCCCTTACTGCCCCTCTTCATCCGCAGCACTCAGCAAATGTTTGTTGAAGGCCCACTGTGTCCCGGGTCCCATGCGCACGGCGTCCCTGCCCCTACAGAGCTCAGGGCCTCGTGGTACACAAACAGCTTATTTTATTTAAAATAAGCAGGGCACTGGGGTAGTCAGTGGCTAGTGATAGCCAAAGGGCCACCGTGAACAGCACAGTGTGTGACGGTATCTCCGAGAAGTGACCTAGAGAGAGCAAGGAAGCACATACTCAAAGGTCCCCAAGAAAAGCCAGTTCCCAGGGTGGATGGGGATCAAATGAGCAAGAAACACAGATGGATCCACCCAGAAGCAGCTCATTACACCCAGAATAAAGGCTCCTTCCTGCAGTTCCAGGGTACTGTGCCATCTGACCCCTGTCCCTCTCTCTAGCCTGGTCTTCTCACCCCCCACCATTCCAGACACACAGGCTGAACTGGTTCCTACCTCAGGGCCTTTGCACCTACTGTTCTCTGCCTGGGACACTCTCTCCACTGTTGGTCTCAGTTCAAACGTCATCTGCTCAGAGAGCACCTTCTTGACCACTTCCATTCCCACCAAAACACTGGTCATATTCTAACTTTATATATGTACGCGTTTATATAAGGTTATATATACGCAAAGTGGAAAATTTCACACCATGAATCTGGTTCATGCAAAAATAAATTAATAAATAAATATATATATTTGTATGTAAAATAGTGTGTACAAACCAAGACCCAGATAGGGCAAGTTATATGTTTAAGGTCATCCAGCAGGTCACATCTGGACTAGAGCCAGGTCTCCTGCCTCGCCCTGCTGTCCCCTCCTGTCCCTCTGTCCCACAGAGGTGTGGAGCCCTGAGGCATTAGGTGGAAGCCCGTGACCCTTGTCTGCAGAAGTTCTTGTGCCCGTGGACGGGGTGGGTGTGCCGGGGTACTCTTTGCAGACCCACTTGTGATGGGGGGAAAGTGCCGTTGACGTGGATGTTGTGGCCACATACAGCAGGTCTGGGTGGGTGTGGCAGAAAGGAGTGTGCTAAGGAGGACCTGTGACCTCAGGTGGGACCAGGAGGCAGTGCATGTGGCCAGCAGGTTCCCATGTGACTCGGACGTTCTCCTGATTAGCACCGTGTTCCCACGAGGCGTGATGAGAAAGTCCCCTGGGGTGGGGGTGTCCCCATTTATGGCTTGTACGAGGCAAAGCGACCCAGGAGGTCGTCCGGGAACCCGTGCTGAGTGACGTGGTCCCCGTGACGGTCTCTCCATGTCG